TCCTTCAGAAGACGAATTCAATGATATATAATAACATGGGTCTGAGATCACCAGTTTCGGATTTATACACGATCTTCTTCAATAAATTGTCTAATTTCAAAGCCCTATAGAAACGTTGCGATTGAATTTTTCGATTCGCAGTTTCCGCTATAAATTAACAAAGTCTGTATATTATTCTGTTCTATGGTGAAAATTTAGGAATTTTCAATTCGCCAAAAGTGATGACGTATTTTGAAAACCAATAAATATCTCGAGATTTTCAAATGGAACACCCTATATTCCATTCCAAATTTGCATAGAGCTCAGGAAGACGAGTTCAATGGTATATCATAACATGTGTCTGATATCACCCGTTTCGAACTTATACACGATCTTCTTCAATAAATTGCCCAATTTCAAAGCCCTATAGAAACGTTGTGAATGAAGTTTCCGATTCGCAGTTCCCGCTATAAATTAACAAATTTTGTATGTTTTCTTGATCCATGCTAAAAGTTTATGAATTTCACATTGGCAAAAAGTGATGATGTATTTTGAAAAACGATAATTTTTTACAAATTTTCGAATGGAACACCACCCTATTTCATTCCATCTTTGGATGAAGCTCAGAATGACGAGTTCAATGATATATTAAAATAGGTATGGGTCTGAGATCACCCGTTTCGGACTCATACACGATCTTCTTGAAAAAATAATCAAATTTCAATGGCAAAATTCTGACTGTTATTTTCATATTAGATAAAAAATTTGTAATTTCTGTGAAACAGTTCGTAATGAAGACTTTTGAAAACAAGGAATATTATCGAAATTTGTATGTAATGTTATACTATTATTTCACTGGAAAACCTTTTGGAAATGATTGAGCACAGGTTATCACAATTAAATTTCACCAACATTTGACTCAATACGAGACCAATGCGGGAATATTCTAAAAATTGTTGTTGTTCTAGAATTGTTCTATCCGTCATTCGGTTGCCCCCTTACGAGCAACCCTCAGAAGTCTTCGAGAGTCTTGTGCGAGCAAGGAATGACGGGGGCCTTACCTTTTAACGTGTGATCCCAAACACTTTCTTGGGCCATCAGAAAAATTTCTGCAGTCGACGGGACTCGAACCCACGACCGGCAAGTGAATTCGGATTAGAATATAGACACTCTGTCCGCACGGCTACCTGGCCCCAATTAATAAAATGTATTTGAAAATTTTTTCTGATTGTCTACCTTATCAATTCGGATGCATTCATTGCAATAAATGTAATTTCCTCTATCCTCATAAAAATCGTATATCTTACATACTGTTCAACATTTCTCATTGAATTCTCAATGAATAAACACTGGACATGAGTGAATTATCGAAGAGAAAACCAAAACTCAAAGTGGAATGACATGCCAACGTGAGCTGAGTAGTCTGAGCACTCATAGATGGGATTTTTGTTTATGTCATATCAATAACTGTCAAACCCGATTATTTATTGTTGAATTGGTGCAGAGAAACTCTTTCAAAATGCATATTTATTCTAAAGAAGAGAGATTTGATCTTTATGAGTGCTATTTATTATAAAACAGAAATACTGTGCTGGCTTTGAGAGAATATCGTGACCGTTTTCCACAAAGTGTCGTACCAAACAAAAAAATATTTCAGAGAATAGAGAACGATATCCGAACAAAAGGTATTCTCAAACCGAATAAGAGAACTAGAGGAAATGTAGTTTTGACCGAAGATCGTGTATAAGTCCGAAACGGGTGATCTCAGACCCATGTTATTATAGATCATTGAACTCGTTTTTCTGAGTTCTATGCAAATATGGAATAAAATATAGGGTGTTCCATTTGAAAATCTCGAGATAATTATTGGTTTTCAAAATACGTCATCACTTTTGGCAAATGCAAAATTCCTAAATTTTCACCACAGAACATGATGATATACAGACTTTTTCAATTTATAGCAAAAGTTGCGAATCGAAAACTTCATTCACAACGTTTCTATAGGGCTTTGAAATTAGACAATTTATTGAAGAAGATCGTGTATAAATCCGAAACGGGTGATCTCAGACCCATGTTATTATATATCATTGAACTCGTCTTCTGAAGGACTATCTAAAAATATGATAAAATATAGGGTGTTCCATTTGAAAAAACGTAGTTGTGATATGTCACAGACATATGGATCATCCTGTATAAATGACAGTATCTAAAAATTAAATTTCATGAGAAGTTATACAATTTTCATTCCCAACTTTTTTCTGTATATATAATAGTTCACCAGATAAGGGGGTGGCCCAAGTTATGTGGGATACCCTGTACATAAAACTAACATGACAATTTTCTTTTTTTTTTCTCTCTGACATTCTTGGTGTCATTTAGTGTATATAATCATAGCTACTACTTAGATAAGAATTCGTAAAACTCGTAAAAGGGACCTTTTAGAACACATTTGGCATTTTCCAGGGACGGATTACACATTGGTGCCACATTCTTCGTTTTTCTGAAATACAAATTAACTTCATATTTTGAAAAAATGAAAAAATGAAGTCATTTCAGTGTTAAGATTTCTGCTCATATTTTGTCTTCGTAGTAATACGGCGAATTTCGGAAAAATAATTGAATTCTAATTTCATTGGGGGTAAATTTATACTTGGAAGAGGGTTCGATTCAAAATGAAGGGAAGAATAAGTTGATGTGAATTTTATGACCACGGTTAATGTCTGAAGATCAGTTCTCAAGAATCAAAATATTTTATATTTCTACGAGAGGACTTCTCCTCATCACTGTAGATAGGTAGTTATGTCAGGATATCTATATAGCATTAAGTGAAATTTCTCATAAAATTTCAATTATACCTTTATGCTAACCTCATTCTACTGATTTTCTTTCTGGGGTACACGCAAGAGAATAATGTTCATTATTTTTTGTATTCCATATTAATTTTTCGAAATTATACATGGGATCCATTGAGAACTAACGAAATTGGTATTTATTTATTCCTTTCAGCTACCTATGGAATAGATGAGTAAGTGCGAAAAGGTATAAAGTGTGATTTCTCTTCATGTTTTATGAAAAAAGTTCACATAAACATTTGTCATGAGTTGCTTCGTATTCGAGATACAGGGTGTCAATGTTTTCATAAAGAAGTCGTTTCTATTGTTCACCCAAAAGTCTCTTTGTCATTATCATTAAAACTTGGTGATTTCATCATTTCGGGTTTTGTTAATGTAATAACATGGATCTTGATTTGGTGTGATTAGAGTCGGAATAATATAATTTCAGTAGCGTCACAGATTGAGTTACCTGACCTATATCGACATTTACCGAGACATTTACAGTGTATCTGAAAAACAGCGAAAAAATTCAAGGGGGGATTCCGAGGGGGATTCCTTGTGATATCTTAGGAAATATAGTTCATATCAACATGATGTGTCCTACCTTGGTGCGCTTACAAGATACAGGGTATCAATATCTCCATGAATAATCGTGTTTTTTATTTATTACTCAATTGCCTTTCCATCAATTTTAATAAAACGTTGTGGTTTTGTTAATAGTAATATGGACTTCCTTCTGATGCAATTAGATTCGAAATAATATTTCCAGTGGCATCACATTGGGTAAATTTATTCATATTTATGGTGAATGTCATTGAACGACATGGGTCTTTCTGAGTTTCATATTTTTATTAGATTGAACTATTGAAATTACAACTTTTTCATCCAATGTGTGATTTTAGTATCTAGCTCATTTTTTGCGGAAACAATACGGAAAATGGAGGATATTTTATTTTTTTTTTACAATCAATTACAATAATTGCAATATACAAATACCCAATCGAGTACACAATATACAATCTATCTCGCAATCTATTATACGCACCTAGGTGTTACAACACCTGTATGTGCCCTAAGATTGTATATTGAGAATATATGAAATGCAATCATGAACATTGTTTAACTTAACTCAACATAAAACAACTATATGACTATAATATTTGTTAAAATTATAGCTAATATAAATTGGATATTGAAAGATTTTTCACTGCTTGAGAGGTATTAGAACTCGTATTAGAAGATATTTTTGAATGTTTCAAGGTTGGCTACAATGTATGTTTTACATTGTTTCTTGAATATGTTCAATTTGTTCATATTTCTAATGGCTATTGGAAACATATTATAAAATTTAGGAGCTAGGTAGTCGATAAATTTCAGGTTAAGTGTTGTCTTTGAGGAATTTTAAATAGTTTTTTGGTGTTCGATCTGGTGCCATACTGATGATCAATGAATTTCTGTAATTTTTGTGATTTATGAAAAAAAGAACATGACAAATGGATATAAAGACAACTCATATCACAGATACTCTCATCGTATACCTAATAGAATAATAGAATAATAATGAAAATTCAATTATTTGACTCCAAATTTTACTGTAGTTGTTTTCATGACTTCCATTGAAATTTTGGGGCTTTCTCAGTCTCCAACCCTCGCTCCAACCATACTGAATTTTAGCACAATGAAAGCTTATACAGGGAGGTTATAAATAAAAACAAATGATACTTTCAACTGCAACATCCTGTATCTCAAAAACAGAGCAAGTTAGGATACATGTTTATATAAACTTAATTTGCTAGAATATCACCCCTATACTGGATTTTTCAAGTTCTATATTTTTATCAGATTGGTAACAACAATTTCTGGCAAACATTAATTTTTTCATATCGTTTGAATGCGCTTTTGTTTCTACCTATATCTTTTACAAAACAACACCGAGGGATATAAAGAATACCTAAGTGTTGGTGAGTAGATATGAGTCAGCCTCGGAGTCAGCTATGGGTACCCACCTATATATATATTCATTTCCATAATACGTTCTTCCCACGTCTTATACCTGATGATTAGATATTGTTATTTATTCCTCTTTTAATAAATATGACATTGAACCTAAACAAATTTCCATTCTCTCAATTTTTCCATTACAATAAATTGATCAAACATCGAAATGTTTGTATCGTAGTTAGGTACCTCTCAAGTGTCGAACAGGATCTAACGGAGATGCTGCAATACTTCCAACAAATGCGAACACGATCACAACACTGCATGTTATCAGTTTCATGGGCATCGTCAGTCATACGAACTAAGATCACAGTCGGATTTTTTGGCAGAATGTATCATTTTATTGTCTTTGGTGCGATTTTCGAAGGGAAATGCGTGTTTTTTCGGTGATTTTAACGCGTAGTTAGCTGCGATCGACCGTGGTGCGAGCACTGGTCTTCCGTCGCTTTCATTCTCTTCAAACAAAAGTCGAGGAGCGACGTTGCCACAATGTCTAGAAATTCCTGGAAATTGATACTTTCATTTTCGACAAAGTTCTTTAAATCAGTGATCGCCATGAATTTCGGTGAAAAAACTTGTTCCCTCTATTGAAATTCAAATGTTTTTCATAGTAAATTCAGTGTTTTTTGTGCTAATCATCATCATTTTTGTTTTCATCAACTCAAACGACTGCATTTATCATGCGATGGGTTCTTTTTCGAAAATTGTTTTTGGTACTTACGTATTTTTGTCTGAAAAACACGAATTTGATAATGAAAATGTGAACAAACCATTATTTATTAAAATATTTCACTATAAAGTTACAAATTTCACCTTTTTTCCGCCTGTCTTCTGGATCGCATTTAGAACAATTTGCCCTTCTTTTTTCATCATCGGACAATTTATATAATATCACAATATACGACACATTTTTTTCTATTACATGAGTCAACTAGAAATATGATTTTCTTGTATTTATCCATATTTAGTGAAGAGAAGGAAGAAATATCATTTAAAATAATGGCGTGTGTAATGTCATTCAAAACTCAAAAGCAATCTGTTGACATTCGACATCTCGCATTTGGATTGACTATTGATCAAATAGCCGTCATATGGTATGCTTGTTCACTAAATATGAAAAACTCGTTATAAAAAAAGCAAAATTTCGAACTTTTTATTATTCCAAATTTTTTGGGATTTTCTCTCCTCGTTTCTATGAAATAAAAATATGAATATTATTTCAATATACGTGTAGTAAGGACAAATCAGATGATTTGCCCTAAAATGTCGCTGCGTTTAAAGAATTTTCTTATCAGAGCCTAAAAGAAAAATTCACTAGCTTGTCAGTGACAATTAGTATTGAAAAAATTTTTTGAGAAGAGAAATAAAGGTATATAGAAAAAAATATCAAATCTTCACTTATCTTTGGACGTTTCGGGACCGGTTCCCGTTTTCAACATGAAAAGAGATTATATTTCAATAGCGAAGTCGTATAATATGTCTTGAAGCTTTTCAGTTTTCAATTGTCATTTACCGTTACCGTCATTACTTTTTTCTATGGCTATAACACAAAATTGCTCTTGTTTTACTGTGTTCGATACATCAATGAGGTACTTTGTATGTCAGTATGTCATCAATTGCATTTCCGTATATCTGATGATATCAAAATGACTCCATTGTGATTCAGAAAAATCTCATCGCCCAGGGAATGTCAAATTTCAAGCAATGACAGCTCTGATGTCTGATGGGTGAGCATTGTGATTACGAGTATGATGAATCACGGAATGCAGAACGGTTGAAGATAGGAGATTAGTAATTGGTCATTTGGTCAGTATATTACAGTCAGCCAAGTGACAAGGTTGTAAGGTGTTGGGGTAATCAACGGTGGTGTTGTATTGTTTGTGTGTACCTCATTACTCGCCCCTTACAGATGGCTTCAAAACGAAGAAATCGAGAATTCCGCTGTTATCTAATATAGCCGTGTTGATCGAAAAATTGAATAGTGTATAACTTGCACGGAATGCTAATTTCAAAAATCACTATCATTCCGTCCTCGTTAAACAATATACTGTTTTACACATGGACGTATAAACAAAGATTTCCATCCATAATTTCAACTATTATCTTTTACATCTTCCTCGTTGGTTTAATCATATTTGGAATTATGTTATTCAATAGTTCACTCATTCTGATATCAAGTTTTACAAATTTAGTGATGTGCAGATCATCGTATAATTTCTAGAAATGGTGCAGGGAAACTTGGCAACGCTGTAGAGGGCATCAAATCCTGCAAGCTTGCGCGTTCCTGCCAAATCCTTTCACGATGAAAAATATTGTTTTGTGCCACTGCACACTGACAAGCTTACAGGGCGATTCCAGTACCCATACCAATACATCGTCATGCTATTATTGTTTCGCTTTTTTCCATAATAGGTATACAGGAAATAGCCTTCCTTACCTACACATGATAATATAATATTATATAGCTGTTTCTTTCGCCAACACACCACACAAAAATTCATTTCAGTAAGGTGAAATGGGAATTATAAGTACGATGAATTTTAAATGATTTCGATAGGTATTATAATATTGAATCTGGTATACCTACTTATATCAATGGTCTTGAAATACCAACATTTCACCAACACAAGGATATTATCATTTCTGTGGACCGTAAAATGACTGCTAAGTATATCGAAAACCTGCCTTCGATAATAATTATACCTATTATTTAGTAATATTTATCGAAAACAAGATATGAATTGTTCTTCGCATATTATGTTAGCTTATTATTGGAACAAGGAAATATCAATTACATAGCTCTATATTTCTTAATGAAAGTTCCAATATCTCGAAAACCGTGATGAGGTTTTTACTGAGGTCAAGTTGTGGTTTTCTCAGTGGCGTAATTAGGAAGGGGTCCATGGGGTCTGGACCCCCCCCCTCCCGAGCTGTCTGAAGAACAGAAACAGTCTGGTATACAAATCTGATTATGTGAAAAAAAATAGACATGAGTATGAACTATCACGGGAATTTAATTTGTAATTTGTTGGAACCTATCCGAACGAATATCGGAGATTATTTAAGAACCCTCTATGTAAATATGAATATTCTTTCTGCATGTCCTTTGATACGATGAAAATGTAAAAGATGGTAGTATAATTCTCTCGGTGGGAAATACGTGTCTTTTTTCTTCCTACGTCAATGTTTTGTACCTCATCTTGATATATGTGATATTATGTTCTCGATACGTTCTCCTTTATCTTGTTTCTATTATATACTCATTATATTGTTCCCAAATGATGCACATGTATTTATTGAAACCAACATAAGTTATGTATTGCTTTCCTTTTTCCTGAATATTGGAAATTATTGACCTCTATAGACCCCTCCAGGGAGGAATCCTCATTACGCCACTGGGTTTTCTGATGGGTCATGAAATTATTGTTATTCTAATTAAGTATATGATCCATGGTTCTACCGCGGACACCCTCTATATACCTATACTTAGGTAATTTGAATGGAGGACACCCACTATATACCTATACTTAGGAAATTTGAATGGAGAAAATTCAACCATTCCCAAATTGAAAGAAATTTTTTATCTCTCATCAACTATCACACCCTGTGTATCCTTAAAAACCAATTACTTATCATTCTCGATTTTATTATCTATGGAAGCTGAAGTATCTCATTGAAATCCAAGCATTTTATTTGGACACATTATACGTTTATAGAAACCGAAAAATTTGGTCCTTGAAAACTGAACCACCCTGTATATTTCGCACTAAAAGAGTCACTTGGGAGCTGAAAAAAAAGGGGGGAGATTGAGAAGACCGGAAATACAGGAAGTGCAAAAAATATATAAATAAATTTATTCATTAACTTCTCAAAGATTCACATAAATCCTTCTCAATCATGAATTGGTTCACATGTCATTGTTCACATCTAGCCCCACACACAAAGAAAAATTGCTTCCTTGATGTCTGTTAACTGCAGGATCAAAGTCTGTCTGCTAGCTTCTCAAAACTCATCATCACCTCTCTCAAGGCAGCCTTCTCTTCTTCACTATTCAAAGACACACAATACTCATTGAACTTCTTCAGCTGGTAGTTCCTGAGAAAACCAAAGCAATGTCTCAGAGTGGCACCAACATACAACATATTCAGGGACACGATTTTATCCTCCACCATTTTGATGAAAGGTATGCAACTGGAGATGAGTTTGTGGGGGCCACGTCTGCATCGAATTATGCCTGTTCTGGTGTGTTGGTTTATGTATTTAGCGACGAAACCTGCTCTGATTGCAGCTACTCCGAAGTCTCCGTGTAACTTTTCTACCATTTTTAAGATGGCAGTGTATAGTGAGGGTTCTTTTAGTTTCAAATGCGACCTATCGCTCCTCCCGATTTCTTTCACTTCAAGTAATATATACCTGTGAGAAAAATGTTATAGAATGTCTTAGGAGGAATATAATTGAACAAAATAATGAACCTGTTTTTATGCCGAACCATTTTTCCATCAAAGAGGATCTTATTCCTTCTAAATACTGAATAACTTTCAAATCAACAGTAGGTAATTGATGAAATGCCTAATCCTTGTCTTGGAGTATCTACAGTCTACACTCTACAGTAAATAAATAAATAATGCTTTTTTAGTTTTCGAGAAATCGAGATTCGGATTTCTAGGTTAAGAACAGTAGTAAAGCAGCGGTCACAACCAAACTTTTCACGTTTCGTATTCTGATTGGTGAAGCAAAATCTGTTTCAGCTGCGTTGCAAGAAGCCACGGTCTACGAAAATAGTAAAAGTAGACGAATGATATTGCTATAAAAAGGACAAATTCTGATTCGAATAATAAGATATATATGCTATAATAATATGGAAGTTATGATAATATTTTTGCTCATGATTTTTTCGTGAATCCACGGAATAGTAGATAGGTATACTGTTCAATTTATTATTTTCTCGTTGAAAATTGAATGTTCTCTTCAAGTATTGAATATAAATATCAATTTACGTCACAGCCAGTTCTATGAATATTATTAAGTATCTAATCAATATTATTGTTATGATTATTTACTTCATTTCAGGATGGAACACAAATGACAAAACCAAGGCAACTGAGAAAAGCCCTAAAAACTTTGAAAAGTAACGTTGATTTTTGTTTTGTTATGATTGACATTTGCATAAGTTTAAATTCACGTTTAATTTCAGATTCTGCTTCACCAATCAGAATACGAAACGTAAAAAGCAAAACGTGAAAAGTTTGGTTGTGAACGCCGCTTTACTTGATAATTTGAAGTAATTTGAAGGTTAGGATCTTAGATCATGTAAGATCGTGAAGGTGGTTAGGACGGGGTCTAATATCAACCATTTCTAAAGATTTTCCTAAAATTAATTGAAAATGCAGAATGCAGTAAACAAATCTTACTTTTAACACAGCTTTTAATCTCAAAATGTTCAATAATTTCTTCCACAACATGTTGCATTTATATACAAAAAAATAAATGGTCATAAATAAAAAATAATATACCTCCACAAATGACTAATAAATACTACTAACTATGATATTTCATGAGAGTTGCTATCAACAATGAAGTGGTTTTCAACATGTTGCTGAAACTCAATAAAATCAGTATCTTTTTTGAAATGTCTACTACAAATAGGGCAAATTTTTTCCACTTCTGTGGACTGTTTTAGTTTAGAACTGGATTTCTCATCTTGTCCAAAAAGCAGTGCTTCTGTACATTTGTCAACACCTGTTTTAGGAATATCAACTGTGGAAGTAGCCTTTTCACACTGATGAATTCTCTTCATATCACAGGATTTGCAGCTCTGTAGTGCTAAAGTATTACACAAAATTCAATGAAACACAATAAATAAGTATTTGACTGACATTACCTTTGTTATTCTGTATTGTTTGCATATTCCTAAGGTTTTTCTCTAAAATTTCTTTCTGAGTCAACACTTGCTCTTTGAGCAATCTCAAATCTTCAAGTGCAACATTTAAATCATCAACTACATCCTCCTCTAATTGGTCATCAAAACAGAAACCAAAATTTTCTGTGATGATACCATTATCACACTGCATTTCATCAATCTCTGAACACATCCTTTCCAATTCAATTTTCTGTTTTGAAAAATTGTCAGTCAATTTCAATGATATATTTTCCAATTCTAAGCTAATCTTCTCATTGATGTCTAGGTTTTTTTGAGGAAACTTAGTTTGGGGCTCATGTTGAGTAAAGGTTTTAGATCTTATTAGAACAGTATGAGTGGGTGTTATGTGTTGATCAACAGTTTCATTTATTTTGTTGAGTTGGTTTCTCAAGTTTTTGTTGATGTCAATCAGTTTCCCCAGTTTACCCCACAAGTCTTGGTTTTCTGATGACACCATTCTGACTCTATCTTGCAGTTGCTCATGCTGTTCTGTTGTCTCAGCTATCTGAACTCTCAGCTTATCCATTTCTGAGAGTGAATGTTGCTCGTTTTCCTCGATCTGGGTACACTTACTTCGGAGAGCAACATTTTCATCTTCCAATGTAGCAATCCTTTGTTGCAGATTTTTGCACCTGTCTCTCAAAGTGTGGACAGCTATTTGTATTGCATATTGAGCACCCAGAGATTCATCCATTGTGATTTCATCTAATTAATTACATATGGATTCTTCAGAACCATATATACAGAAGAAAATAATTTTTAAAACGATTACACCACAGCTTGTTGATTTGTTTATTTCAATAATTACAAATATTACAATTTTAAGAAAAAAAAGAAAATCAAAACAAAACTGACGTCACGACGACACTGACGTGATAGCTGACGTGTATGACTTTTGACGTATGTCTGAACAGCTGCCATGGTCAAGATTAATAAATTCAAAATGTGCCGTGAAACGGGAATGATAGACATAACAAGTAGCCTATGGTCGCAAGGTCTGACGTCATATTGCCTGCGCGATGCATTAACCCGCTTAACCGTAAGCTCTTTGTGAATTCCTCAAAATCCAAAATCTGACCGACAACTCCTCATAGGTGATAATTCGCACACATCCGGTTCAGAAGTGGTTAGTTTCAGATGTTGATATTGAAAAATCGAAATCGCTTCTCATAACTGAGGTGTTGGAAGAAGATTATGTTCTTACTCAAGGCTGATTGCCATGGTTACATTGGTCAAAATTACGAGACTTATAAGGTTCTTGTTCAAAGAAAATCCGTAAGAGGCGCTAATATCGTCATATTTTTAACGGCTATAGGACCAAATGAAAACAATTACGACAAAAAAATCAGAAATGGTGTAAGTACGTTAATTTTGGACAGAGTTCAATAAAATTGTGATGATTGAGCTCATATTTCCATTTCGAAGAGAATTCGTACAGCGATATCTATTAGAATCAGATTTATTATAAAGAACAAGAATTTTCAACTGCTTATTGTCGACAAGTTTGAGCCAGACAAAAGTGCATCAGTGCAAACACCATATTAATTATAAGCATCTCACTCATAGCATGAGAATGCTTGATACATTGCAGAATATTTGCTCGATTGATTTCACTTTATAAATAACTGTTCAAGAAACACATTTTTCGATCATACTGTATGGTCGGTTCATAGAAATAACTTATATTCAATTTATATATAGTTTAATTCAATTTTAACGTAAGCGAGTTTGTGTCGTTCATAGAAATGCATTTAAGAAATACTTACGCATGCCCAGAAACATAAATATGGTTATTTTCAGATTTATATATTGGTACAACTGACGCTGATGCTCAATGCACATCTTATTTTCAATGTTTGTTTTTAGTTGTTATTCAATGTTCGTAATAGCGGACCACAACGGGCGCATGCGCAGCTATCAATCAGTACCACAGAACTCAACAGTACTAAATTAAATATAAATTAAATGAAAGCAATAAGTGAGATTTTATGAACGCTTACATGTAAGACTGATATTTCAACTATGTTAACTTCGATCAGTTGTGAAATACAAATCCTTCAACCGTCAATGAACTGAAATAAATAGTTCTTGAGGTATTAGACCCAAAATAGTAATAGTACAAACATAGAAAATATTTGTTTTATCTCGACCACCCAGTAAAATGTTTGTAATAATTTGATAAGTTGTCATGAGACATCGTTAAAATTGCCCTATTTCCGTTATACGTCAACCACAGTTTTCATTTACGAGTGACGGGTGATTACATTTTCAATATCATCTCCTAGATGGCGCGGTATGTCTATTTCCTTCGCGGTCGGTATGCAAGTTTCCTGAATTAACTCTTTTGAAACATGGCAGTTCCATGTGCACGTTGACGATAATCGAATTTTCGTGATCGTGTGTAAATTTCCCAAAAAGTCGTTGCGATAGAGTTATTGTGATTGAAAATGAAGTTGAACGTTTCGTATCCAGCCACCGGCTGCCAAAAACTGTTCGAAGTAGTCGACGAACATAAGATCAGGATCTTCTATGAAAAACGCATGGGCCAGGAAGTGGAGGCCGACCTTCTGGGCGACGAATGGAAGGGCTACATCCTGAAAATCGCTGGCGGAAACGACAAGCAAGGCTTCCCCATGAAGCAGGGAGTCCTCACCAACTCCCGAGTCCGACTTTTGCTCTCCAAAGGCCACTCTTGCTACAGACCCAGACGTACGGGAGAAAGGAAACGTAAGTCGGTCAGAGGTTGCATTGTGGATGGCAACCTCAGCGTTCTGGCTTTGGTGATCGTTCGCAAGGGTGAGCAGGAGATCCCTGACCTCACGGATAAAACCGTGCCCCGCAGACTGGGGCCCAAACGGGCCTCCCGTATCCGCAAGCTCTTCAACTTGACAAAAGAGGATGACGTTCGCCAGTATGTGGTGAAGCGTCCTTTGGAGCCCAAGGAGGGTAAGGAGAGCAAGAAGCAGAGGTTCAAGGCCCCCAAAATCCAGCGGCTGATCACTCCTAGTGTGCTTCAGCGCAAGCGCCATCGTTTGGCACTGAAGAAGAGGCGTTGTCTGAAACGCAAGGAGCAGGGAGATGCTTATGCTAAGCTGTTGGCCCAGCGCAAGAAGGAGTCCAAGGCTAGGAGGGAATTGGTCAAGAGGCGTAGGTCTGCTAGTATGAGGGACAGCAAGTCCAGCAATCAGAGTGGGCAGAAGTAAATTGTATTTTTTATATGTAAGGACAATGAGAAATAAACGTTGTTGCTGACAATTTGGTTTTTCCTTACACAGCTTTTCATGCAAAGTTTTGACAAAGACTAATGATTGACCATTTATATTTCTGAAATGATAATAAAAATTCTAATGATGTAATACTTTATTGATCATATGTAAATGTAAACAAATAGGTACCTATACAAAACAATACAATGAAGTCCTTCAGCCAATATGTTTCATCTCTTTTTGAAATTTTATTTTCAGTGAAAACAGTTTTTGTTGATAAAAAAAAGAATTCAGGTAATAAAAACTGGAATGCCAGTTAGTTCAAGCAGAAGCATTTTCAGGTAACTTTTTTGGAAATTTGCCTCTTGGTTTAGCATTGGTCCCTTCCAGAATCAGATTCATGTTATTTGGTGTTCTGAAACCCATCCTGTATAGTATAATAAATGAATTTATGGGGCAAGGTGATAAGGTATCTATTAGTCAGAGTTGTTATATAAAATGCATGTAACCATTGAAGAATGTGAATCAGATAGCAGAAGTACTGAAATAATTTCTGTTTAAATAGTCATCCTAAAAATTGCATATTATTATATGAATTAACAATTTATAGAAAACTTTTCTTTTAGTAGTTATACCCATTTCCATAAGAATACTGACCATACTGCAAACTAATTTCAAGAATGAAAGAATTCATTGAATTGATGCTGGGATTGTAGATTCAATTAAAGTAACAATTAGGAATTAGATGTGAAATATCTTTTGATTAAATATCAAAATGTTGTCAAAAAGTGATTTTGGTCTACACAATTCATGAATTCATAAAATATATTCCAAATTAATATCACCAATCTTCATTTCAACAATAACAAATCCAATCTTCATGTTCTGTCTCCAGAATTTACTAATTCTTAGTTGTTAAGTTGAAAGTTGGTCAACTTTGTAATTCTTAATCTTAATGGACTTAATGACAAATGTGAATGTATAAACCAGCCTCATAGGACGTTTCCTTGTATACAACTTTTTGAGTTCATAGTTGTTAATTAGTTAGTTTAATTCTTAGTTTAGTTGAATCTATAAACCCAGCATAGGCCTTGATTTTCAATAAGTAAAATCCTTCTTTCTATTTATTGTTGATGTAATAATATTTTTCGGTCGTCATCAAAACTGAAGGTCTGTTCGTTTGTGTTGCTAAACTTGATTTCGTTCCCATAGTTTTCTCTGTTCATGGCATGATGTAAACAGAGAAAGTCATATAAAAAAATCAAGTTTAGCAGGTAGAGCAAACACAAACGAACAGGCCTTATGACACTTGAAAAGTCTGGGAAAATGGCCAAGAAAAATACAGAAAATCAGAACCCCACTTTTTCAAGGTTATATTCTCAGACTTCTCTCTTTTCTGCTTTTTTTTATAGATTCAGGACAGGGCAGGTACTGATTGAATTTATTATTTCAATAAAAGCATAAATAATTTGGGGACGATTTATTATTCAGTTGAATGATGATCATGATTAGTAGGTATGTGGTATGCATAATTGCACAATGATTATCAGTTGTGTTTTCCAGAGTTGTTCAAAGTAAACAAAAAATATGATCAACCTTTAATTACAGCAATAGGTCTCAACTTAATACACTTCTTTGAAATCCCTGCAGCATGGCATGTATTCACAACATCAGTCACATTCTTGTAAGATTCAGGTGCCTCCTCCATAACTAGCTTAGGTGATGCAACTCTTATCGAAATCCCCATATAATCCAATTTCCTCAAAACCTCCTGATAGTCCAGATTCCTCCTTGATTTTGCCCTGGACAGAGCCCTACCAGCCCCATGGCAAGTGGACCCAAAGGTCTCCAACATCCCCTGCTCTGTCCCAGTGAGGACATAGCTGCAGGTGCCCATGGTTCCCCCAATCAACACCGGTTGCCCTGTCAACTGATAGTCCACCGGTATCAAGGGATGGTGTGGGGGAAAAGCCCTTGTAGAGCCTTTCCTATGAACCAGCAAAGTCCTGGGTTTCCCATCTACAATGTGTTCCTCCACTTTGGCAATGTTGTGAGACACATCATAGATGACATGCATGTCCAAATCATCGGGAGTCATGCCGAATTTTTTGGCAAAGGCCTGCCTGCTTAGGAAAGTCATGGAGCTTCTATTGACCCAAGCAAAGTTAGCAGCTGCAGCCATGGATTTCAAATAATCCTGGCCTTCTTGGCTGTGGATTCTTGCACAAGCCAGCTGCCTGTCATTGGTTTCGATATTGTCCCTTTTCATGGCTTTCTCCATTTGCACTAAGGCATCAGTGGCTACCTGGTGTCCAAAACCACGACTACCTGAGTGTATCATAACACAAATTTGTCCCTGCTCTTCAATACCCATTTTGGATGCTGCTGATTTGTCATAAATCTCCTCAACAACTTGGATTTCTGCATAGTGATTGCCTGCTCCCAAAGTACCCAGTTGAGGTAACCCTCTTTTTTTAGCTCTAACACTTACTTTAGAAGGATCAGCATTCAGCATTCTTCCATATTCTTCACAATGTTCCTTATCTTCAGCCCAAATGTAACCTTCTCTTAGTGACCAATCCATTCCCATCTCTAGAGCCTCCTCTAAATCTCTGGCATTCATAGGAATTATACCTTTAGAGCCCACTCCCACAGGAATGTGGTCAAATAAACTTTGAGCCAGCTCTTCCTTGACTGGCATGACATCTTTTTCAAAGAGATTTGTTCTTAACAGTCTGACACCACAGTTTATGTCAAAACCTACTCCACCTGGTGAGACAATTGAGTCAGGATTGTCCATGTCAAATGCTGCCATGTTACCGATGGCAAAACCGTATCCAGAGTGGACATCTGGTAGTCCCACTGATCTTCCTACTATCCCAGGTAAAGCAGCTACATTGGCGATTTGTTTGACTCCAGGCAGGAATCCTCCTACCATTCCTGGTCTGCAAGCATTCCGCAATTCGTCCAACATCAATTTTTCGAGAGTTTGGTTGACGTAAAACACCCCCTCAACATTCATGTTGGGTTGAAAACCCTTTTTTATTCTCCAGCTATATGGGGTTATTTTCTCCAGATATTCTAGTTCCTGTTGATATTGTCTCACCACCATCGTGTATGCACAAATTAGTGAATGGTTTCAACAGTTTACTATCAATAACAATGTTTTATTTTGTAGGTGTAATGTTAACCTCAACAAAGAAGTTCATCATCAACAAACCGCTTACCAGAGAAACACGGAACAGAAGAAGAAGAAACGACTCTCAGAATACTGTGGACTGCACGCTGCTTTCACATGCATCCGTTTTCACGGATCCGTTGGATCGTGTGATGAATATTGACACGGATGAGTCGGCAATCGCAACGTACCCAGTTGGCTCAGCATTACTCTAGAAATCCCAACACGAAAAACATATGAAATAGAAGTCAAACTGTCACCAGATGCCAAATAACGAAGCGAAATTTCTAATCTGGTTCTTGGTTGTTCTTCAAGTGTAGTCTCCAAGAGTCCGAGCAATCGATAAAACATATCAGGCGACATCCTAAGATAATTGAAAAAGTTTTCATTGCCGTTTTCCTCCATTCCTCTAGCCAAATATTCACTTGCGTCATGAAATCTTCGAGAATTGTCTGTGAAGATAGATCTACGATTTATCTTTTAACATTCTGTATCTTTCCATAATAAATCGAATATATACAAATTTTTGACTCTTCTCTTTATTATTTTCTGCTCGCATATTGTTTTATTTCTTAGAGATATTTGCGCAAAACAGGGATAACAACGGAGCTCACGAAACCATTCCATCCGGAAGGGACCCAAACTTGTGTACGTAAATCACGCAAACGTAGATCCGTGAAAACGGATACATGTTGAAGCAGCCTGAGCTGTGGACCACGGTTGAAGGTGGCCATGTGTGTGGACTAGAGTCACTGGATAACACAAGGATTATCAACTCTCAGTTAAATAGCCTTGACTAATACCATCCAGTGACTCTAGTGTGGACCATTGTGGACAAAGTCATTTAACTTTTCCTAACCTTGATGTGTGGACTCATGAGGCTAAAGTTGATTTTTTTTCCATAGTTGTCTCTGTTCATGGCATGATGTAAACAGAGTCATAGAAATAAATTAAGTTCAGCAGGTAGAGCAAGCACAAACTAATAGGCCTATTACTTATATGATGAGTGAAACACGTCAGGGCAATTCTGCTGCCGCTGCTGGCTGCCGCTGCTGCTACCGCTGCTGGCTGTCGTGGCTGGCTGCTGCTGCTGCTAATGCTGCTGGTTGCCACCACTGCATTATAAAGGCTATATTCCGAATTGAATTGACAGTACTGAATCTGATGATTTTTCATTCCGAAATCCAAATAATTCAATGAGAGTGACAGATATTTGTCAGCAGCCAACCATTCATTCCCAATTTTCGACTCAACATTCTGCTGGAATTGCTGACTTTCAAAAGGTAGTGTGTGGCTTCAGTAAACTGTACTTTTGAATTCATATTTCAGAACACAAGTTTTCAGCGGAGTCAATGGATTTACTGGCAGTGCTGACCAGTTGAATTTGGAATATAGCCTTGGTCAGCAGAATGTTATGGAATAAATAGTATGTTTGTTCGAAAGCATCTGTTACTTTCGTGAATTTTTTTGATTTCAGAATGAAAAATCAGCAGATTCAGTACTGTCAGTTGAGTTCGGAATATAGCCAAAGATATTGAACATTAGCCACCAGGCCTGGCAGTCAGATGCTAATCTCACTGTGACTGTGTCAAGTGCTTAATCATTCCATAAAGAGTAAACTGCAATAACTGCATCTCACAGGTACACATGAGTTACGTCAAATACAGTTATATAACGCTTTTCTTGGCAGAGAAATTCAACAGTAGCAGCGAAAGCGTCAGCACCAGTAAACAGCGAAAGCAGAAACGCCAGCACCAGCAGCAAACAGCGACAGCCTCCTGTCGCGATCCACTTTTTTTATGAATGTGTACTGTCACTGACGTCACTGTCACTCCGCCTGCCCATTCGTGTGGTTTCAAATGATATTCTAGGAAAGAATCGCTGAAATCTCTTGGAATTATCCAATTTTGTGAATTGAAATATCTGTATTCTCACAAATCAGGAGTAAACCTTCATCTGACAGGCACATTGACGTCACATTATAGGCCTGTTCGTTTGTGTTTGCTTTATCTGCTAATATTGACTTTTTCTATGACCTTTTCTGTTTACATCATGCGACGAGCAGAGATAAATATGGAAAAAAAATCAACTTCAGCAAGTTCAGCAATACAAACGAACAGACTTTTTGCCAGTAGTACGATCTGTCGTAATGTTTTATCTGTCATGACCAATGACATTGACAACTCTGTCATTGTCCATTGTTTCTGTGGTGTGGCGTCGTTTAGCAGCATTTCCCGTCGACTTTGTCGACTTCTTTCTTTCAACTAAATTTGTGCAAACAGTTCATATCGCTATCAAAAGTTATCCATCACAAACATCAAACGTACATCCGCCATGGAAGAACAAAACAAACCCGACACCACGAACGTTAAAGTCGAATCCTCCACCAACGATAATGGCGGAGCAGTGAGTACCCCAGAGAAATCAAACAACTTCGACAGGGACAGAAACACGGAAGGAACCGGCGAACGCTTCGGCAGAGGCGGCCGATTCGGCGGCCGAGGCGGAGGCCGAGGCAACCAACGCGGAGACGGAAGAAATTTCGAAAACAGACGCGGGGGCCGCGGCCCCAGAGACGGCGGCAGAGGCCCCAGACAGGACTTCCATCAGGAGGGCCAAGAAGGCGGTGACGGCGACAGAGACAGGTCAGACAGGGGGCAGAACGACCGCGGGCAAGGCGATAGGGGCCAGGGGGACCGCGGGCAAGACAATAGGGGTCAGGGGGACAATAGGGGCCGCTACGGCATGCGCGGCCCTGAAGACTACTTCAATGATCGTGTGCAGCAGTTATCTGGGCCTACGTTTGATTTGCCGCCGGTGGATATGGCCGAGAAGAAATTCAATGGTAGGAATCGGTTGTATGTGGGGAATATCGGTACAGAAGTGTCTGAGGATGAGCTGAATGAGTTGTTCAAGAGCTTCGGGGAAACTTCCGAGATTTTTGTCAACACACAGAAGAATTTTGGTTTTATTAAGCTGGATTATCATTGTAATGCTGAGAGGGCTAAGAGAGAGCTAGATGGGACTGTGTTCAAGTCCCGTAATCTGAAAATCAGGTTTGCTCCTAATTCTGGTAGTGTTAAAGTCAAGAATCTTTCATCTATGGTGTCCAATGAGTTATTGCATTATGCTTTCTCTGTGTTTGGGGAAATTGAAAGAGCAGTTGTTACAATTGATGAAAGAGGTAGGCCTACAGGAGAGGGTTTGGTTGACTTTGCAAGAAAAGGTGCTGCTTTGCAAGCTATCAGAAGATGCAGTGAAAGCTGCTTCTTCCTCACTGGATCTCTCAGACCTTGCATAGTTGAGGCATACGACGTTGTGGATGATAATGACGGGTATCCAGAAAAAAATGTCCCTAAAAAGAACATGGAGTTCCACAAGGAGAGAGACCAAGGCCCAAGATTTGCCAACCATGGCACTTTTGAGCATGAGTATGGCATGCGTTGGAAGCAACTCTTTGACTTGCACACTCAAAAAGAAGAGTCCCTGAAGAAAGAATTGGAGCTGGAAAAAGAAAAACTAGAGGCTCAGATGGAGTATGCCAAGTATGAACACGAAACTGAGCAGTTGAGAGAACAGCTGAGAGCCAGAGAAATGGACAAAGACAGGCAAAAACGTGAACTGGAAATGAAGCAAAGACTAGTGGAGGAAGAGAAAATGCGCTCAGAAAAGCAAATGAGAGAGATGGAGAGCCGTTTGCTGCACCAGCAGGAAGAGCAAAGGCGTAGGCAGCAGGACAACAGCTTGTTCATGCAAGCCCACAATTTGGACTCTCTGTTGGAGCAGCAAGAGCAGGCTTTGCAGGCCTATGATCAGCCAACTGGGTACAGCCATGGGGTTGTTGAAGACAGCCCCACTTTGGACCCAAAGTCTTTTATGAGCATGTATGAGCAGGACAGTGGGAACAGATTTGAGGGTAGGAGTAGCTCCTCCAGAGGGGGCTCTGATAATAGGGGGCACTGGGTGAGTGAGAATCGCAGGGGAGGGGAGGATTATCCCACTAAGAGGCGCAGGTTTTGAGACAAGAAGGCATTCCCCAACTTTGATCTTTAACTTTGGTAACTATTTCATGATTGTCAAAAGATTCTGTTTGATTGCTGGTTGAGTTTTCATGTGTTTTTTAACTTGGTCTTGGTGGGGAGGGGAGGTATCAAAATTCAATGAAATTAATTAATCACTTGGTTGGTAATCTTTTATTCAATACAAAAACAATGACAAACAATTAGTGGAATGGAAACCCCACAAAATTGCTGGCCATGAAAAAAATACCAACAAGGAAATACTGCAAAATTTGACTACACAGAAAAAAAATAATGCACAAAAGTCATGAATGGATTGATGCCTAAAATACAGGTTCATTGAGCATACTGACAATACACAATACAGAGTTATTTCCAGTTAGTTACTTCATTAATAAATAATTTTTCCCCATTAGTTCCTTCATATTTTTTTCAATGGTATTTTTTTCTTGGTAGATTTTTTGTGGTATTTACTGTATTTAGAGGGTAATTTTGAGAATTATGGCTTTACTGTATTGTTTCCTGTTTTTTAACCACCAATTAACCTACAGGCAGTATTCAATTAATTCACTGTTGATTTTTTTCTATGATTTTGAGATTCCAATTGTTTGTTGATAGTAATTTTGAGTTGGTTATCAAAAATGGTTCATTCATAGGACAGAGCTGGGTGGGATTCAAATGTTTTTTATACATTAGTCAAATTATTATTATGTACTTCAGTATGTTTGCAATCATTATATTATTACACTCACAAATCTGAATAACTTTCAAAATCTTGAATGTTACAAAACCCAATGTATTCGAATACTTATGTCTGTATAAAGTTGGAACTATTTTTCAGTATGTATTTTGTATTGTAATGAACAACATAGATCTGCAAGCAAATATCTTCCAGGATTTAATTTTCAAATGACACTGAAACAATTCATAAACCAGTAATAATTTTGAACATAAGTTAAATGAAATTACATGACTTGTAGTTGCCACAATTCATAATAATCTATTTAGGTATTATATTTCAATTTTAAATATAATTGATTTTTAGTGAAATATTATTCATTGTGTGCAAGTAAAATAATTAGTGTTTGAGTTGAGTATGACTAGTGTAAATGTCTTGTCTTGAAGAAAAAAATAAATAAAATGAGTTTCTCCATATTGTTTGTATTTTATTTCTACCTGAAAATTTACCAGCATCCCTATCATTAAAGAAAGATATAATTAATTCATTGAAAAAATACCTATTTGAGTAGAATATATAAATTTTCAATTCAGCATAGAGTTTCTTGATGCAATATTCTATCACTATCACCCAGTAAAATCATTCATCTGTCCTATTCTAGACAGGAAATCACTAATAACTTGAAAACTATAATAAATTGAGAAAAATCAATTTCATATTCATGTTCAGCACATCCTGAACACCCTATACCTATTATTACCTATAATATGAATTTTCTGCTCATTCTGAGATTTTGCTGATGTTCCTAATGTAATTGTCCCCAAAAGAATCATTCATCTGTCCCAGCAGTAGAAAAAAAAATTGTTTTTTCCCGATTTAGATTGATAGAGGAATAAAAATGACCATGCAGGGAACAGAATATCACTAATAACTTCATAACTATAATAAATAGAGGTAAATGAATTTTATATTCCTATTTGAATTTTCAGCTCATTATGAGATCTTGCTGATGTCCAGAAAAATCCAAGGTGTTAAGTCTTGTTTTTTTTTCAACAGAAAATGTCAAATAGATCGTAGGGCTTCCAAAATTGGTATGGGGATTCCTGATGCACTTGTCTATCTCCCATCAGAATCATTCATCTGTCGTTTCAGTAGAAAAAAAGCTATGAATTCTTACCCGATTTCGATTGACAGAGGAATCACTGTGACCATGCAGGGAACAGAAAATCATTAAAAACTCAAGAACTATGATAAATACAGGAAAGTCAATCCCATTTTCGTGTTCAGCACATCGAGAACACCCTGTATATAAAGTTTCAGGTCATTCTGAAATTTTGCTGAGGTCGAGAAAAATTCAAGGTGTTAGTCTTGTTTTTTTTCCACAGAAAATTTCGAAGAGATCGTAGGGCTTCCAAAATTGGTACACGGATTCCTGATGCACTTGTCTATCTCCCATCAGAATCATTCATCTGTCGTTACAGTAAAAAAAAAGCTATGAATTCTTACACGATTTCGATAGATAGAGGAATCACAGTGACCATGCAGGGAACAGAAAATCATTAATAATTTAAAAACTATGATAGATACAGGAAAGTCAATCCCATTTTCGTGTTCAGCACATCGAGAACACCCTGTATATGAACTTTCAGCTCATTCTGAAATTTTGCTGAGGTCGAGAAAAATTCAAGGTGTTAGTCTTGTTTTTTTTCCACAGAAAATTTCGAAGAGATCGTAGGGCTTCCAAAATTGGTACACGGATTCCTGATGCACTTGTCTATCTCCCATTAGAATCATTCATCTGTCGTTTCAGTAGAAAAAAAACTAAGAATTCTTACACGATTTCGATAGATAGAGGAATCACAGTGACCATGCAGGGATTAGAAAATCATTAATATTTTGAAAACTATGATAAATAGAAAAAAGTCAATCCCATTTTCGTGTTCAGCACATCGAGAACACCCTGTATATGAACTTTCAGCTCATTCTGAAATTTTGCTGAGGTCGAGTAAAATCCAAGGTGTTAGTCTTGTTTTTTTTTTCACTGAAAATTTCGAAGAGATCGTAGGGTTTCCAAAATTGGTACAGGAATTCCTGATGCAATTGTCTGTCTCCCATTAGAATCATTCATCTGTCGTTTCAGTAGAAAAAAAGCTATGAATTCTTACACGATTTCGATAGATAGAGGAATCACAGTGACCATGCAGGGAACAGAAAATCATTAATAACTCAAAAACTATGATAAATAGAGGAAAGTCAATCCCATTTTCGTGTTCAGCACATCGAGAACACCCTGTATATGAACTTTCAGCTCATTCTGAAATTTTGCTGAGGTCGAGAAAAATCCAAGGTGTTAGTCTTGTTTTTTTTTCGACAGAAAATTTAGAAGAGATCGTAGGGCTTCCAAAATTGGTACTGGGATTCCTGATGCAATTGTCTATCTCCCATTAGAATCATTTATCTGTCGTTTCAGTAGAAAAAAAGCTATGAATTCTTACCCGATTTCGATGGCTAGAGGAATCACAGTGACCATGCAGGGAACAGAAAATCTTCAATATTTTGAAAACTATGATGAATAGAAAAAAATTAATCTCATTTTCGTGTTCAGCACATCGAGAACACCCTGTATATGAACTTTCAGCTCATTCTGAAATTTTGCTGAGGTCGAGTAAAATCCAAGGTGTTTGTCTTGTTTTTTTTTTCACAGAAAATTTCGAAGAGATCGTAGGGCTTCCAAAATTGGTACAGGTATTCCTGATGCAATTGTCTGTCTCCCATTAGAATCATTCATCTGTCGTTTCAGTAGAAAAAAAATTATGAATTCTTACACGATTTCGATAGATAGAGGAATCACAGTGACCATGCAGGGAACAGAAAATCATTAATAACTTGAAAACTATGATAATTAGAGGAAAGTCAATCTCATTTTAGTGATCAGCACATCGAGAACACCCTGTATATGAATTTTCAGCTCATTCTGAAATTTTGCTGAGGTCGAGAAAAATCCAAGGTGTTAGTCTTGTTTTTTTTTCGACAGAAAATTTCGAAGAGATCGTAGGGCTTCCAAAATTGGTACTGGGATTCCTGATATGCAATTGTCTGTCTCCCATTAGAATCATTCATCTGTCGTTTCAGTAGAAGAAAAGCTATGAATTCTCACACGATTTCGATAGATAGAGGAATCACAGTGACCATGCAGGGAACAGAAAATCATTAATAACTTGAAAACTATGATAAATCCAGGAAAGTCAATCTCATTTTCGTGTTCAGCACATCGAGAACACCCTGTACATGAACTTTCAGCTCTTTTTGAAATTTTGCTGAGGTCGAGAAAAATCCAAGGTGTTAGTCTTGTTTTTTTTTCCACAGAAAATTTCGAAGAGATCGTAGGGCTTCCAAAATTGGTACAGGGATTCCTGATGCAATTGTCTATCTCCCATTAGAATCATTCATCTGTCGTTTCAGTAGAAAAAAAGCTATGAATTTTTACCCGATTTCGATGGCTAGAGGAATCACAGTGACCATGCAGGGAACAGAAAATCTTTAATATTTTGAAAACTATGATTAATAGAAAAAAATTAATCTCATTTTCGTGTTCAGCACATCGAGAACACCCTGTATATGAATTTCCAGCTCATTCTGAAATTTTGCTGAGGTCGAGAAAAATCCAAGGTGTTAGTCTTGTTTTTTTTCCACAGAAAATTTCGAAGAGATCGTGGAGCTTCCAAAATTGGTACAGGGATTCCTGATGCAATTGTCTATCTTCCATCAGAATCATTCATCTGTCGTTTCAGTAGAAAAAAAGCTATGAATTCTTACACGATTTCGATAGATAGAGGAATCACAGTGACCAGAAAATCATTAATAATTAGAAAACTATGATAAATAGAGGAAAGTCAATCCCATTTTCGTGTTCAGCACATCGAGAACACCCTGTATATGAATTATCAGCTCATTCTGAAATTTTGCTGAAGTCGAGAAAAATCCAAGGTGTTAGTCTTGTTTTTTTTTCGACAGAAAATTTAGAAGAAATCGTAGGGCTTCCAAAATTGGTACAGGGATTCCTGATGCAATTGTCTATCTCCCATTAGAATCATTCATCTGTCGTTACAGTTGAAAAAAGCTATGAATTCTTATACGATTTCGATAGATAGAGGAATCACAGTGACCATGCAGGGAACAGAAAATCATTAATAACTTGAAAAATATGATAAATAGAGGAAAGTCAATCTCATTTTCGTGTTCAGCACATCGAGAACACCCTGTATATGAATTTTCAGCTCATTCTGAAATTTTGCTGAGGTCGAGAAAAATCCAAGGTGTTAGTCTTGTTTTTTTTTTCCACAGAAAATTTCGAAGAGATCGTAGGGCTTCCAAAATTGGTACAGGGATTCCTGATGCAATTGTCTATCTCCCGTTAGAATCATTCATCTGTCGTTTCAGTAGAAAAAAAGCTATGAATTCTTACCCGATTTCGATAGATAGAGGAATCACAGTGACCATGCAGGGAACAGAAAATCATTAATATTTTGAAAACTATGATAAATAGAAGAAAGTCAATCTTATTTTCGTGTTCAGCACATCGAGAACACCCTGTATATGAACTTT